TAAGCTCCCACTGGTGGTGTCGTTTCCGTGGAGCCTTTTTTGACGTGCTGTAATGGCATCGCGCTGTCTGGCTCTTCTTTTCAGAACGGTTTGCGACTCCGTTGCTGACTAGTATTTTCGTCGTCGTTGCATCGGTCTTCGTCAGCCGTCGTTGTGCTGCCACGCCCCCGGCTGGCAGAGGGCAATGAGCAGGTCTGTGATAAGATTTTCTCTCAAAATTGTTTTAATAATTTCTCGGTATTGTACAAAAACCTAAAATTAAGTTTTTAATTATTTCAGTTATAATTGCGTTACCAGTGATTTTTGTAGACTGTAGGTAAAAGCTTTCCATTTCTGTTTTACGCTTGGGTTTCTAACTTCTTTCCGTCAAGAAAACAGCCTGTTTTTGAATTATTCTTCCCCCACCCATAATCAAGAAGCTCGTTCACAAAAATTCATTCATTATTTTGAAGTTGAGCACTAATAAATCTTTCGATTGCATATTAGTACGAATTGGTGAAAATTTCAACAAAGATTACAATTTTGTAAACAGCAAAATTCTTTTCTCCTGCCTGGACTGATTGATTAAGATGTTCTTAAATCAGGGTGGCAAAGGCATCCGTAAAATGCACGTTAAAAGGGTATGGTGTAACAATATTGGCTGATAAGCAGATATTGAAGATCGCAAAAATGAGAAGAATTATGGGCCATGTCATAGACCAGCAACTTGTCTTGACTGATGAGACAATTCAACACGGGAAGGAAAGCTGACCAGGTTCGCTCCTCTCCTCAAAATGTCCACTGGACGAAAATTTTACCTCATCGAATTCAAGCGTTACAAATAGGAAATGGGCCCGATTGTGACAAAGAATTTTGTTATAGTCATAGCAACGACCTGTGTTTAATAAGCATCTACGAGGCGATTTCATTAGGATCAGACATAGGAGTCTATCTATCTGTTCTTAGAGTTACGGTGGTCAAATCATGAGTAGCCTAAATATACCGTAATGGCAGCAACAATAGCACTGATTTGGACTACGAGGACATCTGAGGAATCGAAGCCTTCGCTGCTGCCAATAAGCTTGACCCATGATCAATAATTTGAGCCAAGTAACTCGCCTTGACCAACGGACCGTTGTGCATCTGAGCTTTCCCAGCGTTAGGTGCTCATCTTGCCATGGTGTGAAAACAGCCATATGCTGAGCTAAGCGGATTGACGACGGCTAGACTTCGAAAAAACCGTCACAACGCTTTTTCTAGGGCCAAAGGAATAACACATTTCGCACGTGATCCGTTTTGTACCAATCGTATGGTCGGTGTCACGTATTTGTGTCGTCGAAAGCAGCATCGACGATTTGCAGAACTATTTGTTCAGCACGTCTGGTCGCGGCGTCGAACATCAGCTCGACCTGTAGTCGCGTCCCTCCACCCATGCAGCAACAGTCCTTTCGTCTGATGCGCACCGAAACGATGAACTGTACCGACTGCGCGATGTGTCACTGTCGCAGTTAATAGCCCAGCCCGGTCGTTGGCTTGTATCAATGCAGCCAGCCTGTTGCATGAGGTGCGGGCGGTTTATTATATATGTATGTATATATATAATTAGAGTGGTCGTCCAACACCACGAGTCAGTCGCTGACTGACTGACTAGTAGCTGGACAGGCGTGTTTACCAGTCGTTGGACAAGCGCGTGACCGACGGCCGTTCGTCTCGTCCGTTTGCTGTGACCATTGTTACTTATGGCCACTTTCGACCTCGTTCCGCCCGTACGTCCTCTGTCTCCTCATCACCTCTCCTCATCACTGAAGGAGGTCGTCGTCGGTCGGTCGGTCGGGCGGGCGGTCGGATCGAGGCCCGTTCCAGAATCCGGTTTCGTTGCCGCCATAAGTCGGCTAAGCGTATTCGCTGGTCGTCAACACCGTTAACTGCCTAAAACTGTGCCAGTGTTCACACCGTC